AAAAAAAAAAAAAAAAAAAAAAAAAAGGATTTCTAACCATTTGCGAAAACACGAAGGTTGTTCAGGTTGTCACTGAAATGACTGAGCAAAAAAAGCAAGAATTTTATGCCTGACAAATTCCTTGTACAACACAGCTGAAATATTCTGTTCCCAGTACTAACACAGTCTTCTACTACATGAACCTCCCTTCAACGAGCAATCAGTTTTCTCTACAGTCAAGACACTGTCATTATCACACCCGCATTTGGAGGAGGTCAGTGAACTTCTACTCTGACCTTATTAATTTCCTTAAGTTCTAAAACCACCCTCCTGCAGTGAACAGAAGCTGTGAGATAAATCCATTCACTAAGGATGTGGAATCCTTGCACACCACGCAGGTCTGAAGAGAAGTATTTGAGGAGTTCAAATAGGATACAGCTTCCCTCGACAGTGGTGAATCTTAACCTGAAAAGGGTCCAAAGGCAGGTGGGGAAGTATTTTTATAAACCTCCTGCAAGATTTCCAGATGTGAAATGGGAACAGGGAAGGAAGAAGTGATGCCTTTGGCTCACAGAGAGCAAGGTTTCCATGAAAACTGAGGGTCAAATGCATCCTATGCAACAAGACTGTGCCTGGAGCAGTGATCCTGCCGGTGTCCTAGAGAAGATGAGATCAAATGACTGCTCCTTTTCTGGGTCTGAGGGAAAAGGTGGTGATTAGAAGGGGGGGAAAGCTCCTAAAACAGTAATTTTTTTTATGTTAGAAATATCACGACAAACAGATATTCCACGTCAAAATTTTCCATACCAGCTCCTTGAGACATATGAGCAACACACTGTGCAGGGCTCTTTAGTTTTATGCTTTCCAGTCAAAGTGTATTTGAAACAAGTAGCATACGTTTACTTCCATGAGGCTGAACAGCAAATTCTGTGAACATGAGGCTCTAGGTGCTCCTGAACTACATAAAAGCTGAGGAAAAAAAAGACACTCCTAACAGGAGGCAATGAGAGCCACTTAAAATACTCTCATACTTGACAGAAGTTACCTTTGAGAAATGAATTAAATGAAAAACACAGAACGTACTGTGATCCAACCTTATCTCACAGTAACAAACTAAGAACAGGAGTTCCCCAGACCACTGAAAGTATTCAGCAGATTTAACAGGAGTACTTCATATGAGGAGAAAAAAAACATTATCTGGTAAAGAAGAGAACAGACTAAAAACATTACCTTCAGTTACTATTCAAGAGCATTTAAAATGTAAAAAAACCCATCTATCTGAAAGTACTGGAGGAGGGTGGTAAAAAACCAGCAATCACCCCTGTACAATCTCCTTGTGAGACTTGCAAATAGAAGGTATAGTTCACATGTGCAGATAATTTCCAGGTGGGATTCCCTTGGGACCTTCTCTCCGACATCTCCCCCAACAGCCCTGATTTGCCCTCAAACCTGGGAAACCCTAAGACCTTCTCTGCCAATCAGCCCTACTATTCTTCCAAGGAAACAGCTGAAAACATGGCAGATTCCTGGAAGCCAAAGGAAAAGAAGGCTGGAGGCAGGAGCTGCTCTAGGCTGTGGTTGCAGTAGAGACAAACACACACCAGAGCCTTGGAGGACACGAAACAAGATGAACCTGTAAATACAGTCCTGAACAAAACTTGGCTACGAATGATATTCTGAGAAGTTATGCACAGCTGGTCCTCCTAATGCTCTCTTTTTTTGTTCTCTTTCCTTGCTTTTTATTTTTCTCTCATTCTATTTCGAGTGTCTCCCTCTTCTTGGGTCACAGCTACATGAGGCAAGAAAGGAAACGATCATCTTCTCATTTTAATTAAATATTTCCAAGGCACATCTTTTTGCCACTGACACGACTTCCTACAATACTTGATTCTGAGCACATAAAACATCCTATGAACTTTGGTTTCAAAAGCACTGAGCAAGTATCTTGGTAACAGAGCACAACCACTTCCAACCTCCTTTTAGTGTCTGAACCATTTTGTAGCAGGCACTTGGAAGAGAAAGCTTTCCTTTTAGAAACAATTAAAACACAAGTTTTGCCGCCACGGTGGCCCACAAAAACACATGTACAACGTTCAGCAGCCCAAAAAAAGCTTAGACATTTGCACACACACATTTCAATCCTTCTTCAACAACGCCTTGAGCGGTCAGTCTCTGACATGGACCTTCAAACCACTGTGTCAAGAGATGTGTCACATCTTCCCTTGTGATCCAGGCAACGTGTGTTACACAACTTGTGCGTGACAGAGTATTTACAGCCTAGTGAAGTTCACAACCTTGACAAATTTTAAGCTCTTGAAGTATAAGCTCTCATAAAATAAACAGCAAGATCCACTGCCCTGATGCCAGTGAAGCATGGGATCAATGCATTTTAAAAACTCCCTGTACATCTAAATGCCCTGCCCCAAACATCTGTGTAAAAACAGCATCTCCATCCTTGAGGATTTCAAATTTTAGCAGGCCAGCCCTAAGCAATCTGATCCTATGTCAAATTTAGACCTGCTGTGAGCAGAGGATAAGGATCACAGAATGGCCTGGGTTGGAAGGGATCAAAGCTCAGCCAGTTCCACCCCTGGCAGGGGCAGGGACACTTTCCACTAGCCCAGGTTGCTCCAAGCTCCATCCAACTTGACCTTGAACACTTCCAGGGATGGGGCATTCAACAAGTTCTCTGGGTAACTTGTGCCAGCACCTCACAACTCTCACAGTGAAGAATTTCTTCCCAATATCTAATCTAAACCTACTCTCTTCCAGTTTAAAACCATTTTTCCTTGTCCTGTTACTACATGCTCTTGTAAACAGTCTCTCTTCCATCTTTCTTGTAGGCTTCTACAATGTTCAGAGGTCCTGATTCAATCTAAATTATTCTGGGATGCCACAAGAACTAAATCATCCATTTGTCATATGATTCGTACAACTTAGCACAGATTTTTTTTTTTCTCTCTCCTTTTCACATTTCTTCATTAATTAGAAGTTTCAGATAAATAAAGGCCATATTATATCACGGCTAAACTCGGTGTCACAAACTGTTTGACTGCTCCCATCTCTTCTCCTCAGCTTTATATCCACCCCTTGCTTCTCCCTACCCATGTGCTCCTACTGTCCCTTCCTGTATCCAAGGGAACATCCCACCACCCATCCCAAGCCCACAGACAGATGTTTCCTTGACTCTGGGTCAGCAGAAGGGCTGTTTCTCTTCCTGCAAAGCCTCATAGGGGGTTCCCAGTGAGACCCTTCCCAGGATACAGCTGGCAGCAATGCCTCTACGCCATACCTAAGCAAGGGAGGCAACAGCAGGAGATAAGTCAAAATGCCATGAAGATGCCCAGGGAGACTGGAGAAAAGTAAGAGAACTCAAGGAAAAAAAGAAAGAGATGAACAGTTTTTACTTGTTTTACTTTTGTAAGATCATCTATTCCAAAACCTTATTTAAAACAAATTAATTCACCTCTTGATTCACTCGCTTTGAGAGAAAATAAGGTCCTGGTTTACCGGTGAAGCACTGACAAATCATTCCCCCCGAGTACAGGATCAGTTATAACAGCCTGGCACAAAAGGGCTACACAGACTGGTTTCCAGAACTATCCTAATAAATGTGTAGTAGGAGGCAAAAATCCAAACAGAAAAAGCATTCACTTACACTGGATGGTGTGCAGGAGCAACTTACATCCTTAGGATCTGAAATACAACACCACATACAATTAATAGTGAAAAGAAACCCAACAAAGACCCCTTAAAACACTTTCAAATAGTGTAATTTACTGACAACAAACCAACAGTACAGATAACAAGGGCTATTTTGGCAGTCCTGCTCTTTACAGAATTGTAGTTGTCTCTGCAGAATACTTGCTGAGATAAGACAGATGGGGCATTCCTCTTTAACTTCTAATTTAAAGTGTCACAACCTGCTCTAGCAGCTGACTTCTGTATTTCACAGCACAGGAGACGGATGGCATGGGTTGAATGGGAGCACAGATCATACACTGCAGCCAAGTGGGATGTTCAGCTAAGATACACTTAACAGTTTATCAACACAGGGGTGGAGTGACTTCTGAAGTGTTACTCTCTCAAGTGTGCTGGAGTCATTTTAGGCAATGGAGCTGGGGAAGGGTCTGGAGACCATTCATATGACCAATCGTATGAGAAGCAGCTGAAGGAGTTATGGGGGCTCAGTCTGGAGAAAAAGAGGCTCAGGGGTGACATTATCACTCTCTAAAACTATCCTGAAAGGGTTACAGCAAAGTAGGGGTCGGCCTCTTCTCCCAGGTAACAAGACGAGGAGATGGCCTCAAGCTTCTCCAGGGGAGGTTCAGGTTGGACATCAGGAAGAATTTCTTCATGGAAAGGGCTGTTAAGCACTGGAAGGTGTTGCCCTGGGAGGTGGTGGAGTCCCCACCCCTGAAGGTGTTCAAGGAACGACCGGGCGTGGCACTCAGTGCTCTGGTGGTGACGGATCAAAAGCTGGACTTGATCTTAGTGGTCTTTTCCAACCTAAATTATTCTTCAGCAGCTGGTGTCCCTCACCCATGACGAGCTCCCCCCATGGTTCTGTCCCTCTAAAGCACTCACGCTCAATGAGGAACAGGAAGCAAACAATGCCCATCACAGCAACGATGACTCCGGGCATCACGAAGGAGAGACCCCAGCACGTGGACACCCAGTAAGCAGCAATTAAGGATCCCAGGATATTTCCCACCGAAGTGTGTGAATTCCAGATTCCCATGATCAAACCTCTCCTGCATTAAAAAAAAAACAAAACCAAACAACAACCCACAAACTTTTCTTATTTCAAGCATTACTGGATTGAGAGGAGCGTATCAAAAATAGCTGTTCATCTGTGCTGTTACTGAAATACTTCAATATTTGCAATCTTATGGTTCTTTAACTGATCGTTTCTTTATGCTACAGTCTCCATCTGGTAATTTCAGGGCAGCTAAATATTAATAAGAGTGTTGTAAAATACTCTGTGCATCCCAGAACTCATCCTGCATTTAATGACATTTAAAGACACCATTAGGGCTTGCATGTTTCTGGACAGAGTTTCTTCGATTAAAACAAGTATACAGATGTTGTGTAGCACGTGGACACGAGGTCTGATGCTTTTGGGAATGAAAATGCTCCTGCAAACACACTGCCCTGATAATCTGAGGCTTTCAGGACACGCTAGACTTATCATGCAGAAGAGAACAACCTGTAAAGGATATGTGAAGCAAATTCAGTATTTTCTGGTCACATTCTGGACTTGCTGGGCATTAGCAGAAGATGACACCTGTGCAGAGCTTGGCTAACACACACACCAAGCTGCTGTCTGCCTGGAAATCCCAGATTATAACTGCTGTAGACCAGCTCCAGCTCAGCTAATGTAAACCACAAAAATCCTACTAAAGTCATGACAGCAGGTTTTTTTTTTTTTTTTTTTTTCCCTCGTTGTCCTTCCACGTGGGAAAACCGCCTTGCCCTCAGCAGTTCACCTGGAGCAACCTAACTCAAACAAAGCCCAATCTTTTCCTTGGGCTGAAGATCTAAGAGGTCTGCCCGTGTTTTCACGGAATTTGTGGCAAAATGAGAAGAAGAACCAGACCACTGACATTCAGACAAGAGCCCTACCACTCTGTGGCCTCCTAAAAGTAAAGGCTGTTTTTTTTGTGCAAAGCAAAACTTGAATAAATGTATTTACTTTGCAGGTTCATCAATTTTGTTCAGTACTGTATGACAGTTATTCTCTGCATTTTGTAACACTCACCTAAAAGGCTGCAGGGACCAGAGAAAACCAGCCTGAACCTTCATTTTTGTAACTATCCTGTGATTTTATATAGGAAGCATATACTTAATTTTGTGTATCCTTCTCTGGAACTGGCAGACAATAATGCTCTTTTATGGTCTTTACCTACAAAGGATGGTACTACAGTAGCATTATTATTATTTGCTACATGTACCAACCATTATCAGAGCCAGTGGATTAAGCATGCAGCTCTTGCAAAATTTATGGAAAACTACTGTATGGTGGGTATGACAAAATAAACATTACGAGTGACCTCTGTGCAGGATTAAGATAAAAAACCCAAAGAGATGATTTGAAGAACGTGTCAAAAAGAAAGGTTAAATCTGCTGCTGTACGTATTTTCCTTTCTAAATTGAATTTTTAAGTTTATGTAAGTGTGTTAGAAAAAAGATATTAGACAGATACTTTTTACAGTTACACCCTGACAACTGTTTTGAAACACAAATGAGAACATGGGAAATTCCACATTAAAATGGCATACTAACAGTCTGTACTAGAAGTGGTTTTAGACTGTTAATATTTGCAAGGATTATTCTAATTCATTTCTGAAATATTTCATCTGAAAAATTAAGTACCAGGCTAAAGAGCTACCACAGAACACTGGTCTGTCATGAGGGAGAATATTTCAAACCCAGATATAAACCAATCAGTGTAACAAAGGAAGCTCCTCTCAGACTGCTTTTTCATCCCCAAAAAAGGCAGAAGCAGAACAATATATTTAAATTGGCTGCATTACAGCCCAGAATGCATTGATCTGTACTTCCAGAAGTCTGGATAACACATTATTTACCTTCCTTTTCCAAACCAGTTGCCAATACATGTAACGACACTCGGCCAGCCAGTAGTTTGCACCAACCCATTTGCTATCTGAAATTATATAAAAATGATAATAAATAAACATACTCTACAATAAGTCAGGTTTCTACACAATTCCTGCCGAGTGCTGCACTGGGAAAAGGAAGCCCTCACAAATCCTCTGAATTTAAAAATTTAGCGGGGAGGTTTGAAAGTGATGTTTTTTTTCCCAAAGAATAACCAAGTTAGGATGTTTTGCAGAGATTCTTCCCTGCAGCCACATCTCTACAATTATTTCAGGATTTGAATCACAGAACACTGTCATTCAATCTCAGTGCTTACCAAAAGTCACATTGCACTGAGAAGTGAATTCCCCACACTCAAACAGCAACACAGAAAACTTGACTGAACATTCTGAGCTGGAAGGGACCCACAAGGATCATCGAGTCCAACTCTAATGCTTATCTCAGTCTGACCATATGGCAAAGCATGTTTGCAATGAAATAAAGTGGAAAAAAAAAGAAAGCTTTAGGGGAGACTGGATAACTTTGAACATTCACTTTAAAATGCTTAGCAGACATCTGTAAATAAACTGAGAGGCGGAATTTAGCTTACCATTTCAGGCTGAAGTAAGAACTATTTCAGCCTCCACAATGCAGAGATTATAACTTTAACTATCTCTAACTCTGAAAAAGATTACTCTCTCTAGAATTACACCTTAACACAAAGGCTGCAGTACAATAACTCACATGTACAATGGGCATTTGAACATGCAACAAAATCACCTCACTCAGAAACCAAGCAGGCTGGTGGTGCCATACCACCCTTGGTATTCCAGGACTCACTGACCACCTCCCACAGGGCAGCACTGCTAAAGACAGGCAGCTTTAACCCCAAAGGAGCCAGCTCCTGCCCTGGAAACCACCTGATGCAAGAGGGCTGGGGCAGGGACAGGGTTAAACAGATTAACTGGTGACATGCTCGCCGTGCCCAAGTTAGTGCCTGTGCGTGCCATGCTGCTCAGTGCCATGCAGAGGAGCCAGAGGTGAGAGTCCTACTGCAACAACACACAGGAAGATGCAGTGCAAGGTGCAGACATGCCCAAAACGGCTCAAGTGCTGACCTAAAGCCCATTTCAGGTCAACAGTAAATGTTCCTGTGACACCTGATTAGTGCTCTGAAAAAATCTCACACGGTGAATCTCGTTACATAAGCTGCCTGTTCTCAGCCACACCGGTGTGGGAGACTGTTCATCATTAGCAGCATAAATGTAATTTTCCTGCAGAGAAGGCCAGGATGAGTCACTCAGGTCTTGGCAGACTGACAAAAGTAAATAGGCTTGTTTCAAAACTCGCCCACATTTAAGCTTGCAAAGATTTGATCACTGATTTGACACAGGGTGAAACACACTAATTTGTTTTCAAAGATTTCTTTCGCTAGAAAAACATTTTTCAAAAACAAAACCTGGGGCTATCCTCTCTGTCATTTCTGCCTGTCAGCACTGACAGTGTGTTCCAACACTTACACCCTCCCACCCAACCACTAATCGCTGCGTGTAGCTGAGAAACACCCAACACAACACTAAAACAGCACCACAGAAACTCCTGAGCGTCCAAATAACGTCGTGCCTACCTGGGCCATTATGTAGAACCACAGATTATGTATGTTATAGAAATAACCCAATCCAAACATGGCAGTGAAGAGTCCACTGGCGAGCATCCCACCCGTCAGGTAGTACCGGATAGGCAGCCGCTCTCCTATCAGTCCGCTTGGAACGGGGAAGGAAATAAAGAGAAAGGCCGTAATTAAAAATGAGATCATACCCCAAGCCTTCACAAATGAAGAATATCTCGTGTTGTTTAATTCTGGTTGAGGAGAAACTTTACTGGTAGCTGCTGTTTGCCTTCACAGCAGCAAAGGAGCAATCTTTAGCCCTTGGCAGGGAAAAAGAAACTCCAACAAACATTTCATGTTCATTAATTGCTAAGTTCTGACACCTGCACAACCATCCTTCAGGGAGATACTCATCTAGAGCTCATTTACTTACAGAGTCATTTTCCAAGTGACAGGTAAGGTGGGACATGTCTCCAGCCTTTTAAAGTGAGACTTGTCTCCCTTGCTAATAATAATTCCAGTCATGAAGGTTCTGGTTTTAATAAAAAGAAACATCTCCAAGCAGCAGCTAACAATGCACACTGTAAGGTGGTTTTGGTATTACTTTTAGGAGGTGTCTGCTTCCATCTTCTGACTCTAGAGAAAGCCAGGACAACCAGTTCAGTTTACAAGTCAGAGACTGATTGAGGACCTACATTCCAGTGCATACTGCTTTGTATTCCACATGAAGCAAAGACAGGCCAAGTTGGAAGGCATTCCTGCACAAGGCAGTCATGACGGATGCAGGCAAGAAGCTTTCTGTAGATCAACAGATATGATACAACTGGGACTTGGGGGGATACTGTGGGTTTTCTTCCCCCTTCAGCAATCAGCTTCTCACTCTCTTCACCAGAAACTTGTCCCATAAGGAAGGACATCTCAGAAGCTGTGCAGCCTTGTAAATTAACAGCAAACAGTAAAGCAGGTTTCCAAGAGAGAGTATTTACCTTAAATACATTCCAACTGCATATGCACACAAAAACGAGTAATCCAGCGCTCCCAGTAACTGTTTGTAGTTGTTCTTATCTAAGAATAATTTTCAAAACAAATTAACAGTTTAAACGTACTAATTAATTCCCAACCATTTGTACATATAACAAGAAAAATGTTAGTGAACATGCACCGGCATTTAACTTTCAACAGGCACTTTTACACTTAAGCACACATTTTGCAAAACGCTTTATTTAAGGAAAAAATAAAAATAAGTGGCTGTAACATGTAAGGAAAATACTGGTAGGCCCATGCTTAACTCTACCTTATTCAAAACAGCATTTTGGAAGAGAAGAAATATCAGCTTTTAACAAGGTGCCCTTGTGTGTCCTTAGACAATAGAAAATCCAAACTCTGACTTGATTAAAAATGGAAAGATGAGTTGAAAATATGTGAGGTCCTAACAGCCAAAATGGCTAAAAAACTTCCATCATCACAGAGGCTTTTAAAGAATCGGTTTAGTAAGTTGGTTTTTTTTAATTGTTAAAGCCTTTTGCATTTCGTTTTCCAACTATTCACAGGGTTTTGCTTAAAAAAAACCCCAAGAGGGTTCTGCTCTGTACAGCAAACAAGCATAATCACCCCAAAATAGGACTTGCAGACAGGATGGAGGGAGCAGAAGTGCCTCCACACCCTGGTGGAAACGCTAAGTCTACTCTCAGGAGAGCTGAGCTCACACCAAGAAAGGCAGTTTGTGTGTTTATTTGCAAGGAGCCACAACTGCCACTGACTTCGAGCATGAAGTCACAGGTATTGAAGCATTCCTCCTTTCAGGGTCACTCCCAGCTTTCCCAGCTGTATTGCCCAAAAAAAAAAAAAAAACAAACAAACAAAAAAAAAAACCAGCCAAAAACCCCAAGTCTAGAGTGCCATCCCAAAGGGGCAGCTTGGCAGTAACTCCTGTGTGTTCATGGAAAAAAAAGGAGGACACTGGAGCTCAGAAGTCTCCATTAGAAAAAACAACCAGTGTTTCAGACACGCAAACTCAGCCTTCTCTCTGTCCCGGGACGAGAAACACCAACCATGTTTAACTGCATCCCATCCAAGGGGACTAAATCATTTCAGCAGACCTTGCAGCAGGCGGTTGATACACTGGATTTTGCCCACAGAGAACCCAGAGCTCAGATCTTTCATGATCTTTGAACAGAGCAGCACCTTTTGTTTTTTTTTTTTTTTTTTTTTAATTGCTAATTAAGGACTAATTAGAATGGATGGCTACAGAGACTGGGGTGGACTGACAGAATGGACTATTCTACTTCACTGATGTTCCTGGTAGTAATAAAAGCATTAAGGAATGATTCAAAGTCTCTCTGAAATTCAAATACAATTAAATTCAAACGTAATCGTTCAGTAGGCAAATATTTATTTTCTATTTAAGCGAAAGGCCACATCCATAAACTATTAAGTTGTCAAGTCTATTCTGCAATGAAGGCTCCCCTTTTTCTCTATTAAAATGGAGAGAAAGATATTCCTTCTGGCAGATAAGGACTCTGAAAAGTTCCAATTTTGATAAACACCAAATAAATTATTTAAAGGGTTGCTGGACCTTGAATTAAATTAGTAGAAAATGAAAATGATTTATTTTATTCTTCACCCTTTTTTCGTTAACAGACATGCTAAAGACAAACCCCATTTTCTGACTGAAAACTGATCTACTAACACCATCTCACAGCTATAGCAAGTAAAATAATATCACCTGTTGAAGTGACTTTGAGCAGGAGAGACATCATAAGGTAGGACAGAATTTTATTTGGAGAAATCAATGAGAACATGGAAAACAAAACACCCCTTCAATGCACATCTCCTCAATACCTCCATATGTGAAGAAATAGCAAGAAGCAAATAATCTAATTATGAATATCAGCTCATTGCTGGCAAAAACAGAAAACCAAAGAAACCAACCCTTACCAAATGGCTCCCAACCACATTGAGAGGCGTTAAATGGCTTTTTGACAGGCTGAATCTGGGCAGCATATTCTTTGTAGGAGTCAAGTTCAACTTCACGTGAAGCAGCACAATGCTTATGCAGCTCTCCCTGAGACAGAAAGGGCATTTGAAAATGGAAAAAAAACCTCACTTGTGAATTGGGGTGTTAGTTCTCATGCAACAACAAATTCAACAAATCCAGACTGACAAGAACCTGTGTCGAACCCACCAAAATCAGTAACACTGTTAGCCATTAATAATTGCTTGGCATTCTGGTGAGAGAAGCCACCATTACATGAAATAGTTATGGTCAGAAAAAAACATTCTATAGTGAACTGGTGCTTCTGATAGAGAACAGCTTTGAAATTCTGCAGTAACATCAGGTACTTTGCCCATTGTTACTCATCAGTTTTACACAAGACAGCACTGGGGGATTTGGTTTGAGTTTGGCAAGTTTTACAGGCTGAAGATTAAACTAACAAACCTTGAATTATGGAATATTTTGCCACCAGCTTCACCAGAAGCAGAGTCCCAAGTGTACAGACAACTACGACTACGATGTTCAACAGCACTTGGAACACTCTTATAAATGCCAGGGGAATGTTATCATGCTCAACTCATCAGTTGTGAGCAACTTTTTTCAAAAATATCACTGCAAATCTCTCAAATACCTATAATTCACGTGAATTAATCTAATTAGGTGTAGGCATAGCTGTTTCAGGTTTTAATCCCGAAGACCAGACAGAAATGCAATATTCTAGGCACAGTCTCACTGACGTTTATCAAGCAAATGTCACTGTGTACTGGCTTTATCAGTTTTTCATCTTGAAGCCACTTCAAGTTAAAGTTTAACACTGCCTTTCACAACGGGAAGTACTAAAAAAGACAATGACTTCCGTGTTTGAGGAGCAGAAGGATGTTTAAACAAGGACAGAACCCTGCTTACCTTAACTATACTAATAGGTTTCCTTGACAAATGGAAGCTGGCATACAGCAGGAAAGTGAGAGAGAAAATGAAGGCTCTATACCTACAATATAAAATAAAAAAGCGTTTGAAAATTGCACTTCCTTTTGGCACCAAGTTACACAAAAACGTCTTGCCTTGTTTGCAACCTTTCTTTGGGGGCTATTAAATGTCAGTTCAACATTAAACACACTGATAATCGGATTTCACACCTCAGTGTCTCGCTGGGTTTTCTGGTATGATTAGGATGTAAGTGATGGCTCTCTGAGTTGGCAGTTTGGATACTGTGGGTTATTACTTCCTTGTTTTCTTACTGCTTTTCTTTTGCCTTCCTCTGTAACAACAGAAATCAGCTGTTTCCAGAGACGGAGGGTGGGACTGACAGAGTGTACTGGAGCACAGGAACATCATTAAGCCAGTTTGGGATTGGGAAGGAATTCTCCTTTGTGCCTCACTGGCATCCTTGGGTCTTTCTCTTCAGTTCAGCTGAACTAAAAGGGCATCCCAAACTCCCTGTCAGAGCAAGCATTAAACAAAGACAATAATCTGATCTATTCTGTTCTCTGCCTGAAGTTTCAGTTGTTTAAGGAGGGCACTTTGTGGAATTGTGCTTTTAACAATACACAGAGTCCAGGTGTATTTTCTGGTTCCTTCTGGCCTTGATCTTAAAATTAACATCAGTAAATAAAAGTACATATATTAATACAAATATCTGGTATTACCTAGCCTACTATGGTCCCTGATTTTTAATTAACCTTTTTCAATAGTTTTTTGCCTTACAAATTTTATATAACCAAGGCCTTGGTACATTCACAGAGAGACTAACAAGAGTTATCCCACAAGGTGAATTACTCACCCTAAAAACTGAAAACATCCTCACAAGGAATAAAACTGAAATTACTCTGTTCCTGCTGCTATACTAGAGAAAACACATGGCAAAACTGCTCAAATGGAAAGTGCTT